TGGGTACCAGGGCTGGGGTCTGGCATGTGTGGCCAGCTGAGAGCATGATGCTGAACCCCCACACGTGTCCCAGAGCGTGTCTTCACACATACGCACACGAAGGCTGCATAGGGAGGCCGTGAGCTGGGCTGGAGGGACCCTGGTAGCAGGGAGTGACCCCAGGGCCAGACCCCCAACCCTTGGAGTCTGAGAATAGGAGGGCTCTGCTTGCACCTCCCTGCCTCTGGCCAGGCATTGCTGGGTGGACCCCCTGCCCGGCGCCCCCCCCGGTAATCGTTTCCATGTGTTGGCACCGGACAGGCGCTGCAGCACAGCCCCGACTGCCAGCAAGGGCTGGGTGGGAGCGCGGAGCTGAGCTGCTGGAGCTGGGGGCTGGCACGGTGCACAGGGGAGGGAGGCCAGGCACTTGCAATGGGGTCTGTCCTGCAGCTGCAAGGACCCAGCTGGCCAGCCCCATCCCCCCAGCCCTAGTCCCTCCACAGACCCCAGGAATTACCCCAACATGGGCAGGAGCAGCTCCCCCAGCACCTACCCTGCTCCCCGCTTCCAGGTGCCTCCTCCCGGTGTGGGGCTGGCAGCCGCCCTGAGCCCTACCTGGGGTTTTCCTCCAGCCCAGGGGTGCCACTGGGGACCCTGGCACCTGGGGGTGTTGCACATGTGTGTGAACGTGCCAGGCCCCTCAGCCAGCCCATCCCCTGGCCTCTCTCCCTCTCTCTGTCCCCCCCACCAGGACTCGGTGCTGTGAAGACTCCCCCTCCCTGATGCTCCATGCCCGGCGGCCGATTCCCGGGCAGGGGTGACTCTTGCCCCGTTCCTGCGTCCCCTGGGGTCGGCCGCCCCGTACCTGTGCCCGGGCCGTGAGAGCGGGCAGGGCTGGGGCTGTGCAAGGCCCAGTGGGAATAAAGTGAGAAACGGGCCCCTGCGGCTGTGGTGTGTATTTGGGGTGGGTGGGGGGGGTCACTTGGCCTCTCCCCGCCTGCCTCTAGGAGGTTCATTTCAGCACCAGCTCCCGTGGGGCTCATCCTGCCCTGGCCTCTCTTGCTGGGGGAGCCCCCTCCATGCACAGGTGTGCATGCACACGCCAGGCTGGATCCTGCATGGTGCTGTACGCGGTTGGGTTTAGGTGCTGGCTGGGGCTGGGCCTCTGGGCACCCCACAGGACCAAGACCCCGGGAGGATTGTCCTGCTTGTCACCAGCACTGGTGTAGCTGCCACAGCCACGGGGTGCCTACCCCAGCGCTCTCCTGGCAGCAAGGGGACAGGACCGGGCAGGATGCTCCTCAAGGCAGTGCTGGGTTATTCTCTTGCTCAAGCCACAGACCACGTGCCAGGGCGCTGGCCTGCAGGGCTACAATGTGCCGGGGCATCTCAAAGGCCAGACCAGCTTCCCAGAGGGGGAAAGAGGGGAGCTGGACACGTGGGGGTCACTGTTCCCAGGAGGAGATGGGAGATACCTGGGTATCAGTGGGGTCAAGCTGTTTAATCCGGGGTGCTGTGTCCTGGGGGACCTGTGTGGCCCGGGGCAGATAGAGGCGGCCGGTCACCGTGCAGCCGCGGGCCTGTGTATAACTCTGGGGAGGGGGTGCCGGACCTTGAGCACAGCTCTTCACCCCTGGGCCTGGCCAGCTGCAAGGAAAGGAGCCCGTGAGAGCTGAGCCTCGCCGCCCCAGCACCGAGAAATGCCCCCTCCCACGTGCCCCCACACGGCACTGAGTCAGCAAGGGACTCCCCTGTTGCACCCCCTCTCCCAGGGCTGGGGTGCAAGCCCTGCCCTGCCCCTGGGCACTGGGCCATGCAGGGACCATCTGAGTTGCCTGGCTGTTCAGGGAGAGAGTGAGTACCCCCAGGGCCCTCCCTTGCTGCTTGAGCCCAACCGAGTTGTGCGTGTGCCTTGCACACCTGCTCCCCTGGCAATGCAGGAGCCCCTTCCCTGGAAGCCGGGGTGCAGGCGGGCAGAAGCAACAGGGCCCTGCCCCAACCCTTCCCGTCCCGAGCCCCTGGCTCCCCTCCTGGGCTGGCAGGGCAGCCCCCCATTCACTCCCCAGGGGTCTTGGCAGGGACCCCCAGGGCAAGTCAGCATCACAGACCGTTTCACGACTGCTCCCGTTTCCCTCTCCGCCACGTCCTCAGCCACGGGAAGAAGTAGAAGCAACCCCAGTAGATCCTGGGGAGCACGGGGCAGGGGAAGGAGGAGGTCAGGGTGCAGAGGGAGTAGGTAGACAGATATGCAGCTGTTGGATCGAGTGGGTGGGAGACTGCGTGGGGGGTCAGAGCAGCAGAAGGGGGAGTGAGGGCCCTGCAGAAACCCCCATCCTCTGCAGCTGCTGTCTGTGGATGGGAAGGGACGGGGGGCATGCAGCACCAGCACCTCTGCCAGCTCCCCTGGGGATCGGTGACCCCTGCCTGGGTACCGAGAGCACTACCCACAGGGAGGGGATACCGGGGACCCCCGGCATGGGGGGAACAGAGACTAGGATGGGGGTGCATACAGGGAGGAGAGGGTCGCAGCAAGTGCCTGAAGCGGAGGGAGGTGGTCTCCTGGGAGCAAACCGCGGGAGGGACCCCAGTGCTGCCTCTGCCCTAGCCAGGGCCCTGCTGCTGCCCCCCAAACACCCCCAAGCTCCCCAGCCATCAGTCAGGATGGTCAGTACTCACTCCTCCTCGTCCTGCTCCGGCTGCCAGGGGTCAGATCCCAGCTGCCCCTTCCTGCCGGGCAGCTCTCCCTCCTGCACAACAGAGATGGGCTGTCCAGAGCAGCATGCACGCCGGTGCCAAGGGCCCAGGAAGGTGTGGACACTGGCCCACCCCCTCCTCCCCAAAGCGTGCAAGGGTGGATGTAGTGTCACAGCGTGAAGCAGCGTGGGCAGTCCCTGCAGGCACCCTGGCCCTGCGGACGCTGGCTCAGGGAAGAAATGCTGGTGCCATGATTGCCAGCTCTGCCCCGTGTCCCCAGTGCCTCGTGCTCATCCCACCGCACACTTGCCTTGCGGCGGCGAGCTCTGGCTTCCCCCCCCTGCCGACAGGCCTGCTTCTCCCCCAGCGCTCTCTGGCACTGCAATCGAAGGGGAGAAGCTCAGCACCCGCAGCAGGGAGGTCTGGAGCAGGGCACGGGGGCAGAGACCACCATCCCTGCCAGTCCTACCTGCCGCGCTCTGCCCAGCAGCTGCTTCTCGCACTCGCCACCTTCCACCAACTTGCACGCCAGCTTCTTCTGCTGCAGGACGGCCAAGACAAGGACAGGGACAGGGATAGGGTTAGGGGTAGGTTATGGACAATGCAGCACAGGGCGCAGGGGCATCCCCTTGTCCTCTATGGGAGCAGCCTCCAAGGCAAGGCATCTCATGCAGCACTGTGTCCAACGTGGTGTGGGCAGCCCACAGACCGAGCTGCACCCTGGCTGGCCATGCAAACACTAACCCATGTGCAAGCATCTACACTGTGTTTAAACTGGCTAGCTAGCTGGCCCAGTTTAAGCCCAGCATCATGCCTTGCCTTCAGGACAAGGCAAGGGAGAAAGCGGTCCTGTTTTGCAGCGTGCCATTCTGCACGTTGAGCTGCTCCTTGCTGATCTCCAAGGCACCTGCGCAGCTCAGGGTTTCAGGCGTCCCCACGACTACCTGCAGCTCTGGATATATCTACACGGCATCCCTGGTGCCACCCCGGGCTCCCACTCGCATGCTCCAAACCTGGAAGTGCAGCCAGGGAGCTGCTTTGGGGCCTTCAAGCATGCTGGGGAGAGCTGCTTCGCTGCCTCACTTCTGGGCTTGGTGGGAGTGTGTGGATGGGGTGCCTGGATGCCAGGACACAACGTGAGCACGCTCCGTGTCACATCATTTGGGCCGTCGCAGTGGGCCTGGCCCTGCAGACAGGACAGGAGCTCAGCGCTCCACCCGCCCTGGAGCAGAGATGCTTTAAGTCCTATGTAACGTGGCTGGACCCTGAACGCAGACAAGACCCCACAGCTGGGCCCAGCACAGACCCAGCCGCACTTCAGGGTGTTGATATGTCCCATTCTCTCTGCTCCGAGCAGGCTGAGATGGTGCAGGTGCAATAGCGCCGGGGCCTCGTCTACACTAGGGTATCCCGTGTTCCTGGCACAAGTGCAGGAGGTTGCCAGGGGCAGGCAGACACCACGGTACCAGACCGAGCCATTGCTAGCCCGGAGAGGAGGTACCGCACGGAGAGTCTTTCTCACCTGGAAGGAGCCATCGGGTCTCAGGGCGGCACTGCCTTCACCCCCGCACCACAGCAGCTCCTTCAGCGCCCGGCCGTCCGTCGCCAGCGGGGCTGGGGGCTGCCCTTGGCCCTTGAGCCGGTGCATCTCACCCGAGGGCAGCGGTCCGGGGGGAACGCCTGAGGGAGGCAAAGCCCCAAGTCAGCGCCCGAGTCCCAGCTGAGGGGTCTTTGCAAAGTGACTCATTGCGATTTGCACCCGCCGGCGGTCGGTTATCGGCCTGGCGCAGCACACCCATGGCCCTGAAGATTTAGCGATGGAGGCACAAAGCACAAGACAAGCCGGGGAGCACCGCGGCCCCCATCCCGGTACGGCCCCTCGGGGCAAAGCAGAAGGGTGCACGGCCAGCCTCAGTAGTTGAACGGCCAGGTTTGCCTCCCCCACCCCACCCCACCCCACCCCACGGAGGAGCACCAACCCCCCTGGCTTTTCATGGCGGGTGGCAGGCAGCACGGCTCTGCCACCGCGCGCTTTTCTGGGGGTTATTTTGGAAACCTCAGAGGCCCGGGGGGTGCTGGGGGCACGCGGGAAGGACCCAGGAAGCAGCTTGGGGAGGAGCAGAGGGGAGCGTCCAAAATGGCCATGGAGGGAGCTCCGCGGGGCCCTTGGTCTCCAGATTTCTACTGAGGGGAGGCCTCCAAACAACC